TCTCCTATAGGAAAACACTACTGCAAACACTAGAAATATACAATCATAGAACCATAGAAATATTTAGGTTGGAAAAGACTTTAAGATCATTGAGTCTAACTGTTAAGCTAACACTGCCAAGTCCACCGCCAAACCATGTTCTTAAGTGCCACATCTACAAGTCTTTTAAAACCTCCAGGGATGGTGACTCCACCACTTCTCTCGGCAGCCTATTCCTGTGCTTGACAACCCATGTGGTGAAGAAATTTTCCCTAATATCCATCGTGATGTAGATCACTTTGTTGTACTTCTCCAGCAGCAGCTGACTCTGGTTTCACAAAGGCCTTTCTCTGGCCCCAGAGCTTCTCTGTGCGCTTCGTGTTCCAGTTTCAGACTTGCTTCTTTTAGGGAAGGCTAAATGTGCTGCTTCAGAAATATACTTCTACATCTGTTAAACTGCACAGTCAGCCAAGCAAAGATAATAACCTGCATTTTACCTGGGACTATTTAGTCCTCCAGTTCTCCTTTCTCCATGCTAGCGGTTCCTCTCTAGCTCACCTCATCAGCTCTGCCTGTTGTCTAACTGCCAAAATATTTAAAAGCAGCTGAGTTGGCTTGAACTTTCCCATTTAAAAGAAGTCATTGAGCGCCAATTTACATGTTCTAATAAAAGTGAAAAGCTGGAAGTCCTGAGGGTAACCCTGCACCGAAAGCTGTGATCCACAGCAAGTTTCTGTATGAAGAAATATCCAAGTTAAGATTTGCAAATTCCCATGTCTCTAAGTAACTCCCAGATGAGCCATTAGGAAACTCCATTAACACCATGCTCACCTGGAAAAACTGTTCAAAAGAAAACAGACCCCTTTCAGGTCAGAGCTGCCTCACCCCTCCCAAGATAATGCCTTTTTACCCAGGAAAAGCTGGTGGAAAAAAATAATGATTCATAACCTGCAAGAAATCCTGATTTTTGTTTTCATCTCAGCTCAGGTTGGTTAAAATGCTGAGCATGCCTTCTTCTGAATGTGAAGATAGATAAAAATATTTTGGTCTTGATAGTCCTGAATCAAAAGGAAATACTGCAGGATTGGTTTATAAACAGAAACCAAACTGTTTCAGTTTGGCTTAGTTCAACCATTATCTGACGCCCCTGGAGTTGATGCAGGACATTGTAAAGTTTGTAGCATGATTGTCTCATGCCTTTGCTTTTTATGCCCTTGCGACTGTGCACACGAAGCACTCTCAGGACAAGGAGTAGGCAAACCTAAATTCACTTCTTGTATTAATGGGTGTAGTTAGGAAAATAAGACAAGCTTTTGGGCACATAAGCCCTACTTTAGATCTGAAATAAAAGCAGTAGCTTGAAAAGCTAAATACAAGTTCAGGCTGGTAGTAATCTAGACAACCTCTTAAGGAAAAACTATATAAACTATATAGCTATGCTGCTTAGGGGGGACCTCTGAAGGTATGACCTCCCGCTCAGAACAGGACTATCACCACCACTTGTTCAGATTAGACTGTTGGTACCTGGGGAGAAAATGAAATAGAGAGGGCAGGGAGAAAATGGGGAAAAAGGCAGACCAGGCTATGGCTGCTGTGCTGCACTTGAGCATGTACCAATGGGACATCTGTGAAGTACATCATAGCCCTGCAAGCACAGAAGCTGTTATTTTGGTTACTGGGGGAGCACTGACTGTGATAGGTGGGAAAGGTGTCCTAGTATCTCTGATGTTTCTTTCTCAATGTAGAACCATTCTGGATATTTTGGACCCCAAGGATCTTGCTCTGATGATGGATTTTGCAAGGCTGGAATTACTATAAAATTTGATTTCTGGGATAGGTTCCCAGCCTAGGAAGGCATGTGAAAATCAGAGGTATATGATCAATAGTAGGCTTCTTTTTGGTTTTGTGTGTACTGCAGTAATTCTTCAGGTGGTGGTGGTATGATTCTTTCAAAACCAAGATTTACTGTGTTCAACTATACCAGGTCGTCTCAAAAGGCATTACCTTTCCTTACAAACTTTGTCCTTCCCATCATCTGTACACTACTTTGGCTGCAAAGAAATGCCACAAGGGAGCAGTGGCACTGCCCAAAGTGAAAACAGATCAGGCATCTCCCAGGAGGCCCCCATGGCAACTGAGAGATACAGATCAAGGCTCAATTGACTTGAAATGAATGCACTGAGTGGGCACCACTAAAACAAACAGCTAGCACCTCTTCCCAGTACATTTTTAAAGCTCTAATACAAAATGCCAGTTTTCAACACAGATACTCACTGATGTTAGGGGTAACAATGACAAAAGGTCTCATGTAGGTTTTCTTCATGTTCTCAGCCACGTTGTTGAAGTATTCCTCATAGTGCCTGAGCAGGTGAGCGGTGCCACCCTCGGTTCGCTGAATTTGCTCCCAGTGCTCCTTGTTGCTGGGGTCCAGTAGAGCACTGCCCACTTTGATAATATTCTGAGAAGCAAAGCACAAGCCTAAACTATGCAGCAAACAGAGCGCTGGGTTTCAAGTGAGGAATACGGAAAATGATTGGCATTATGGCCTCAGGTGAGTGTATAATGAAATACTTTAATGCACGCATGTTCGACTGCAGCCATATGAAACCACACACAACAGTTACTCACCCTGAGGTTTTTTTTTGTTAAATAAAGCAAATCCCTCCAAACTTTTTATGAGCAGTAAGTCAAAATTGGAGGCTGTAAGGGAACTGCCTAATTTCTTTCCCCTTTATGACAGGAAACCTAGCAAGAAAATACAGAAGGAAAACCTAACCATGTTTTCTTTGTCTCTGAGAGAGACAAGGAAAGCAGAGTGCTTGGTATGTACACTGAAGAACTCCCCCAGAGAAAAAAAGTCATATGATAAAAATCAAAAGAAAGCCCTAAATAGCAATATGGCTTTCTGGTTTGTTTTGATTTACACTATTTTTTAGTTTTGTTGATTCCTGGATAACCAGAACAACTTACATGGTGAAGAATGACAAGAACGAATATTAACTTGCATATACAAACTTGAAAATACACTTTTATGCTGCTTACAAGTGGTGTTAAAAAGTTCTAGCTGAGGATCTGCCCCTTCTGCCTTTTCTTAAAAGAATATGCAAAGGGACCCTGAGGCTGAATGGCAGAAGACCCCCAAAAGAGAGTGTCAAATGGCTTAAATGGGAAAGGTGCTGAGGAGTTTTTAATCTTGGTGAACATATGAACTACACTGACCTAATTCCTAACTAAGGTAAGATTTGCATAAATGGTGGTAGGAATTAATCCGCTCAAGCTCTAAAACAGACAAGGCAAATACTTAGGCTTCATTTAGAAGCAGACAGGGAAGATGCTATATTCTCTAGGTACTGTCTGAGGTTGCAATCATGACTCTGAAGTAAAAGAGGTTGCCAGTACAACTGCCTTTATCTAGGGTGAGAACCACAACATGGCTCCCCAGGAACGCATGAGACACATGCTGTACTTGGTACCAGGCTTCCTCAGTGTTTGTGAATGTTATTTATATGCTTTTTATTATCTGTTTTTCAGACTTCTCCTTCAGACTATTAAAAAAAAATAATAAATCCTTCTCTCCTCATGCTCCCTCAGCCTGGGATGTTCCCTCCTATTTCTCATGAGCCTTACTGATTAGTTTTCAAATTCCTGACCTATCCTAAAAATATTTAGGGAGTTCTTGAAAACAGCGCCTGTAGGAGTTTCAGTGCCAAGCACAGAGAATAATAAATTAAAGCAGAAGTTTCCAAACCATTTTTATTTGCTTATTGCTCTTATTTTTAACAAAACATGCTAAAAAGGAAGTTCCTTCTCAAGATGTAAATGGGGGAATTCATGCACTCCGCAGCCCACAGGTCAAGTTTCTCAGTAGAGTGTCTCCATAGGAAAGAAAAAACTGAATCTCTTAAAACCTGGTGCACCTAAAACGTTAAATGCTTCAGAAGTTCTCCACTCTCTGATGACTGTACAGCCTGAAGGATTGTCTTAGCTACATTTCCTCCTGCTCCCCCACCTCCCCTGGGATGTCCTCTCTTTGTGCAGCTTGGCCTTGCACAAGGTCTTCAAGTTCATCCCGAAGCCTGCCTGACCTGGCTGGTCCTCCTGGAGTACTGTGAGCAGTAAGCAGGGTGTAGCATGCCTTCAAAGGGAGACAGATCATTTCTACCCAGCACAAAGGACATTCTTGGCCCATGGAGGGTCTTTCCAGCAGCCCTAAGCTCCTGGCTCTGCTGGCACATGTCCAGAAGGATGTTCTAGCTTGGACTCTGTGCTGTGCCATGGTTGGGACCTTGGAAATAGTATTGGCAAGCACGGACAGCAGTACCCTGCAGTACACCTGGCAATGAAGAGAGCAATACGAGCCTGATAGGGATCATCTAATTTCACGTTTTCAGACAACAGAAAACTCCCAACATCTTCCACATCTCACATTTTTCCACCACAACTACGTGTTTCCCCCAGACAGGGAAGGTTCTACAGCTTGTTCTCTAGACCTGGCCAGGTCTTTGGTAATAACTGGGTCTTCTATGAATGCTCTAACTAGCAGAAGCCCCCTGGTATGTGCCTGAATCACTTAAAATATCAATATGGTAAGCATGTCTTTCAATGTACCAAGACTTTAATAAACATCACTCAATTGTTTCCATACTGAATTCTAAGAAACCTTCGAGTCAGTAACTGGCTCAGAGTTAGCTCACTGCACATTTAAATGAAAATGATCACATTAGTTAGGTTTTCCAACAGACCTGAACATGGTACACAAACCTATTTTATCCAGGAATAATGCATCAACCTGATTATTTTCATTTGAGGAATTTTGCTTTTGGCTGTTACTGCGATAACCAACTTCCCATTCTAAACTGAGAAGCCTGACTTATTTGTGAAACAGATTAAGCAATTACATGATATTCGCTCCACCCTGGTCAAAGACAAAATTAATTATCCATTGCCATAAAACTTTAAAGGGGAACTATAAAGGCTTAGCACAGTATACAGTATTTCTTACCTCATTGAATTCCACGTCTCTTGTGGCTGCCAAGTCAAAGCCTTGCTGCTGGCTCTCATACCGAAGGACCCGGATCATCATCTGGTAAGCTGTCCTCACATCATTGCCATACAAGCTCTGTGTGTGTTTGGTGGCATTCTGCAGCACTCTCACAATCCGTATGGTTTTGCCTCCATCCAATTTGGTCTCATTTTGGTGTAACTTCTCATTCTGAATCAGAGATAAGAAGGAAGAAGAAAGACAATGATGGGCTGGGGTTCTTTTATTCATTCTCGTTACAAAGACAATCATCATTTAGTGATTTTTGGCACAAAGGAGTTGTCTGATCAAAATGGTGTTTGTCTAGAGAAAGGGCTGACAGGACAACTCAATGGAAAGTGTAACTGAGAGCCAGAAAAGCACAATAATCCTGATGGGAAATGAGGAGGTTCAAGGACTCAGTCAATAGATGGAGTGCAGGGATATCAAACTGGAGTCTGCATTGATGAACATTTACAAAATAAAAGGCAAAACTGAGAAAACACAGCTTACCATGATTTTTAGATCCACAAAAGTGCTGGTGGTACAGTTGAAAAGCTCAGGAGGCAGCCAGCCCTTCTCAATGTTACAATGGCGAACTGCGTTTCCTAGGAGAAACAGTGCATTAATAGTAAATAATGTTCTGAATTGTGCTGAGTAAATCTTCATAGATTTCAGATATCCTGATCTTCCAGATTTCCCACATTTTCAAGTTTCTTAGAGCTATGCACATATATCGCTTTCCAAACTGGGGATTCCTGTCTGAATCTTCATGAACTGTTTTACTCAGGCTTTAAAGAAAGGTTATGGCAAGCTTCAAGATCTGCCCAACCGCTCTCATTCTTGCTGCCCTAACATTCTCAAATGTATTCAGCAATGTATTTATAATAAATCTGAGCAAGACTGTGCACTTTCTCAGTACTTCTGAATATATATCCAGGCTCAGATTTCTGTGCAACAGCCCATATAGGAAGACCTCCCGGACAAATGCTGTCTTCAAGTCAAAACATGCTAGCATGTCTGCACGCTGCATGCCGTAAACACTTCAGCCAACATGTATAACTGCCTTTTGCCAATTGTGAATGGTCTGCGAGCAGCTTACTGTTTAATTTAGCCTATTATTTAATACTATTTGTCAAATCACTTTAAAATGTGACTCTTGGCTGCAGAGCCTTCACAGGGAATTGCAAATTATCCCATTCAAAATTTAGATTGTATCTAAGCCATTTAATTACTAATATCTAAAGAAGAATTACAATTAATTGAATAATACCTAATTATATTATTTCTCTTCCATGATTAGGTGAAGACAATTAAGCCTCAGGTTCTTTGTCTGAATATTAATTATTATAAAGCTTACTTTTTTCGAGTGTTCTGTAAAATTCACTTTAAATGAGCAATTTCTCCAAGTACCCTTGCCTGCTTGCCTATTTGCTAGAAGAGACACTGAGGTCAACCACAAGAACAGTGCAGAAAACTTATCTTAATTCAACTTTATACTGCTTAATAATGTAAATAATCTTTACTTACAGAAAGTAAAAATCAATTCTATCTCCTAAAACCCTCAGAACAGGAGCTTGGTTGACCACACACTGACTTCCCCTCAGTGATATTTCAGGAAGTCACATAATCACCTATAACTCATTGAGCCTGAGAAGCACTTGCAGCAGAGATTTAGCAGGCTCAAATCTGAGACAGAGATTTCACTTCCCACAGAACAACCTTTGGAAAAGATAATCCCAGTTTCAAAATGTGTTAGATGTTTTTAGGAGCACACAAAACAGGTTGTCATTTGCTCGCTGTACAAAACAAGACAGCTCACGTGCTTTATGAAAGGCTTTTTCCAGCTGCCTGACTTACGGGTTAGAGAAAAGATGTTGGGTGGAAAAACACAAGTTCTGCTGTAACTCTTAGCTTTATTAGGCTGCAACACTAGTAAAGCAATCATCGCATAAAGGATTCTCCTCATTTTATCCTTGCCCAGAGGAGCTGTATCACCAAAGAGCATGTACAAGTCGAGAGAAGCTAAAAGTTACGTGTAAGAATTGCTTGACAAACAGAAAATTGGACTTATTTTGAAAATACAGATTTTCTGTTCTTTACATGTGTTTATCTGCTGCACTTTTGTATTTATGTACTGCTACTATTTTCAAATGTATTTTAACAGTTCTTTAGTTTCTGCTAGCTAAACTCGTCTGCTTGCAATATGTATGAGCAACGCTGTAATCTCCAGACCCGACGAATTAATGCCATTCCCTATGTAGACATCTTTTAACTCTTTTTCTTTTCCCCTCAAACAGGTATGTAGATAAAGTGGTTAATGTTTTACCCAGGGAACTTACCCACTGATCCTTTAGGACATGGCACAGCAGCTGGCTGGCCAAACTTGGTCTGTGGCCACCAAATACCAGCCTCGAATGCTTTGGGACAGCCATTATAAATTACTGAAAGCAGAAAAAGAAACGATACAATTTTGCTGACAAGATAAAAATCACAAGAAGGAACATATTTCAACCTGCCTAAAGGACCTTCCTGCAATTCCCAAGCCCTGTCAGGATACCTGTCCTCTGCAGTGCCTTCCAAGCTGCAGCCTGTCAGTGGCTCCTTATCCAGCAGTGTGGGCAGACAGGTACAGGCAGAGGAGAGCCCAGGATGATTATGGGGTTCTGGATTTTGGCTCTGCCTATCTCTGCTTGCTCCTTTATTGTGGGAAACGCTTCTCCTTCTTTTCACCCACACACTGTGGTGAGATGGCTGCTGCAGAAGCTTTGTGCTGATCACAGGAGGAGGGTGGGTGGGAGGGTGGAAAGGCAGGATGGGCAAGACAGGAAAGAAAGGTAGAGGGCACCAGGCACACGACACAGCCTTTGTGGGTAGTGGGTGTGAGGATCCTCTCCCACCTCTTCAGCTGCAGCACAGCAATAAAATGCTGCACTGGCAATGAGCTCACATTTCAAATAAAATTGGGATAAGCTTGCTTTATTCCAGTTTGATTAAAATTAAAGAAATACGAGCTTTCTTCTTTTTCCCCAGCTCCCATGAGTCATACTGGCACAGACTTAGGAGAAGAGTGCATGTTTAGGCTGCTGCAGCTCACGTTGTCCCTGATGGAAACACTCCACTGGCCTCACATGCATTCCTGGGTGAAGCTGCATGCCCACCACAGTGCACCCTTCCCCTGCCTGCTGCTAGCAGCTCAGATCCTACAATTAACTACAGCCCCACTGATCAGCAGCACTGGCTACACCGGAGGTACCTTCACAGCCCTTTGTGGTAACTTCAGCAAAAGGGTTGTCACAGCGGTTGCATTGCCGCCCGATGACACCGGGTTTACAAGGACACTGTCCCGTCTCCATGTCACAGGCACGTGTGTAGGATCCAGATGGGAAGCAGTCGCAGGGGTAGCAGGTGTCACTGCTTTGTGGCTTGTAGTAATTTGCCTAGAAGAACCAAAATGATAGACACAAAGTATTTGACTTCTATTCCAAACTGCTTGTGTTTCTGAAGTCCTGCTCTAGCAGCATGTGCATCATAAAAAGGGCTAATTTTACCAAGAGTGGGATCATAATGTTATTAACAGCAAATGTATCAGCTGTGGGAAGTGTGCTGTGTTTGTCCAGGCAATGCAGAGAGGCAGAGCTGAGCACAGGGAGATGGCTGGGCTGCCCTGCACCGCAGAGACCTGGTGTTTGGACCACCACTTGCAGACAGGGTGAAAGGCCCGTGTTAGAACTCATGTACTTGCTGCCAGTGCCCAGCAAATGTATTCTTGGAGGACTTGCAGTTTTCTGTGCTTTGCAATTCTGCTCTTGTATGGTATGAGCAAGCCAGTACAGAAACTTCTTGCACCGTCCACTTGTTTTTCATGTACAGGGTGGAAAGAATCAATGATCCCATATTCCAATCACATCTGTAAATGCTTTTGATCTGAGGTGTTACTGATTACACAAGAGTGTGGTGCTGGCACCCCACTGACTCGATTTAATGCAACAGTGTGTCCTGCTGGCATTTCAGAGGGGAGTACGGGACCATATTCACTGCTGCCGGTCTGCACTGGACCAGCCCCTCTGATGTCATTCAAGCCTGTTGTAAAACCTATTGTGAGAACTCCTTTGTAAAACCTTTGGGAGGGAGGTGCCTCCCCTCCTCTGTCCTCCTCTGTCCCTAGCAATATTCCTCTTAAAATTGACAGAGCTGGCACTGAAGAAATGATTTACCATCTCACTTACCTCTTCCAGCTGCTAGGCCTTTTGCTGGCCATTGCAGAGGGCAGAGCTTCACCCAGCTGGCCCAAGCTGTTTCATGGCTATTACTCACTTGTGATACACAAAACACCACCAGCACTCCTCTGCGCTCTGGTCTGATCTCCCTTGATAAACCAGGCTGCACTTCAGAGAGATCAGAGCCAGGCTTTCACCCTCACAGTTTTGCTTTCCAAACGCAAATAAGATAAGAGCTGCACAGTACAATTTTGTGAAGGGTGGTGCCAGCAAAATGTTTTAGGTAAAGATTAACTACACTGTGCACATATACGTATGATACAAAGCACAACTGTGTGTACTTTGTCTCAGATAGTCTCTTGTTGTAGCTATTCTGGTATTTTTAGACTAAAGAAATTTTGACTTAAGACTGGTTTCTTTTGCTTACCTTGCAGCGGCATTCTCCATTGGTCTTATTGCAATCAGAATCAAACCCTTTACTGGTCTCACAATTACATGGGCCACAGATGGGGTTTCCCCACCAGCCTCTGGGACAAGGCAGGTCAATCCTATAAAAAAAAAGTCAAATTGAAAACAAGTTCTTTTAAACTTCCTCTTAAAAGATGGGAAAAAAGAGCTTTGAGCCAAATCAACTTATAGAGTGCAATGTGTCTCGCTGCAGCAGCCAATGATCAATACATATATAAATAGATATACACTGTAATAAATGAAAATAAGCAGTATCAGTGCTACAAACCCCTAGAGGGAATGCGCCTCTGAATGCTTTCAAGACCAGCTCCTCTTTATAAGGAGTATACATCTGTATGAGCAAAGAAAGTGCTCTTTCCTCTGGGAGAGGGCGATGGG